TTTACTATTTAGAGGCTGTAGGGAGGGACACTTGAGCAAATTTTACTGTAAATTTAGGTAGCTAAAGATTTATATAGGTGTAGTGCCAGGATAGGCACAGAGCAGGTTGTGTATGATCTGGCAGACGGGTAAAGGAGAGTCCTGGCGCCCTCAGTGGCTTTCTCGGGCTTTTATTGAGCTTTACATGTAGTGAGGCAAACAGGTACATGGCAGGCGGGGTGGGGGGGGTGGTGGTACCAGGATGCTGGTAGGCCTCCAAGCCCTCCGCAAGTCTTCACTCTGGGCCTCTCTCTACTCTCTCTCCTGGCTTGCTTTCTCCTCTTCTCTTTCCTGCTTCTGCTTCTCCAGGTGACTCTCTCAGTACTCCCCTCAGGGCCCACAGAAGTAAATAAGACAGCTTACCACAATGTGACAACTACAGGTACCCCCTTCAGGCAGGGCGATCCTATTGGTGGGAGGGCAGAAAAGCCTGAAAACCATTTACCCTGCAATCCACCCCCTCAGGGTTTTCTTCCATACAATCTGCATATATACAATTTTCCCTTAACAAATACAAACACTGCAGCATGGCCCACAAAAGAAAATACAACGGAATAATGAAACAATACAACAGAACATAAGTAATTCCAGGTAGGGCACCAGCCTAGTGGTGAAAGACAATTAGCACCAGCACATGATCCACCACTTTTGCCAAGGCACTGCTCATGCGAAGGGGGAGCCACTCAGGCATCTGCCATCACACCCCAGGAGCGGTCAGGCTTCCTGGCCTTCTCTAGCTGTGGTCTTGGCCACAAGCCTCACACTGCTTCCATCCTCAGGATGCACTCTGGGATTGGCGATTCTGGGCTCTTTGGGGGTAATCGCCCAATCCTCAAGGTTTCTGTCTGCGGTCACTCCAACACTCGGCTTTCATAGCCACCAGTGTGACATGCAGACCCCTGCACTCTGGCCAGCCCATTGCACAAGCACATGGGTTGGGGATCTGTGGATATAAGCTCCACATGCGGCCTCTGTTGGGGCCCTCTTTGGCTGTGGGCTCTACCACAAGCCATGTTCCCCACCCGTCCCCCAAGTACGGGTTCCTCAGCTCCTCACCCTCACTAGACAACAAGCAGGGCATCACCCACAGGTAATTTTAGGAGACTCATTGGCCTTCTTTAGCATATTCAGGCCGCTTAACAGCCGCTCAGGGCTTCCCATTTTGAGCACCAGCTTTTGCCTTTCTAAGTTGGCTTTTTGCCTCTGCCTAGCTCCAGGCAGTATACAGGCTGCTTTTCGCCATCAAGGCCCACTGGCCACCCCCAAATTCCCATCTCCTGGGGTGTACAAACCATACCATCCTCCCCCACGGGCCCCAAAACAGAACATTACCCTGCCAAAGTTCTTCCGCCCTCTGGCGGGATTGTCATGGGTCCAAGTCCATCAGTCTTCTGCATCAGCACTGGGCGATCTCCGTATCATGGTCTTTTTTTCCCTGACAATTCTGCTGCCTCAGGGGTGGTGGGCTGGTCCTTCGCAGGACATCTCCACCTCCACTTGAGGTCTTGTCCCGCATTTCCCAGATCTTGTCCACCTCCTGTGCTCCTGCAGCATCTTTACCTCTTCTTGCAGCCCCTGGACCTTGGTCACCTTCTGTGCTGCCATGGCACATCCAGCGTTGTCACAGGCAAACACAGTCTGCAACTCCTTAGTCCCTCCTGACATCTTCAGAGGACTCCATACCTGTCTGCTTTGAATTATCTTGACGACTATGCCAATTGTAGGGGCAGGATGGACACTGAGCAGGTTATCTATGATCTGGCAGGCAGGTAAAGGAGAGTCCTGGAGCCCTCAGTGGCTTTCTCAGGCTTATATTGAGCTTTACATGTAGTGTGGCAAATAGGTACATGGCAGATGGGTTCTGGGGGGCAAGGAGGCCAGTAGGCCTCCAAGCCCCCGGCAAGTCTTCTTTCTGGGCCTCTCTCTCTCTTCTGGCTTTCTTTCTCCCCTTCTCTTTCCTGCTTCTGCTTCTCTCGGTGACTATTTACCCTACAATAGGCAAAAAGGAAAATTATTTTTACGCTTTATTAAATTAGCTACTCAAGATTATGGTGACAGATAACTCTGTTGCAAAACATGTGTAAGGCACTTTTACCTAATTTTCTTTTATTTATTATTTCTTATGTTACTTTTTTCCTCTTGTTACTTTTTCCTCTTAAATTAAGATTCTTTATTGGTAGGTGACAGGATCAATTTAGTTTGTCATTTAATTTGGCTGACAGATCTTAGACTAATATACTTATAAAACTATATTATAAATTAAGGATTTTGCTCCTCTTATATTGATAACTGATAGCAAATCAGTTACTGTGACTTAGATTTTTCTACATGAACTACCACTACATTCTGTTAATTAATCATTAGGTGTGACTGAATTTCTTTTGCAGTTATTAAAAAAAAAATCTCAAATTTCTAAATCTGCGGAATAAAACTTTTTAAAATAAAAAAAATAAATAAATAAAAATAATATAGAGGGCCTCCCCGGTGGCGCAGCGGTTGAGAGCTGGGCTGTGAAGCTGCCCGCAGCCTCTGCAGCGCCGGTTTGATCCCCGGCTGCTCCCCGGCCACCTGAGGAGGGTCCCACATGGTGCGCAGACCTCTCCTGCCGCCCGCTGCTCCCCTCAGCAGTGTCCTTCGGTCCTTCTGCCTGCTCTGCTCCCCGCTCTGGCTCTGGTGAATTCTCTCACCCTCCCGCGCTTCTGACTGTACCCAGTGCTTGAATGAATGAATGAATGAATAAATAAATAAAAATAAATCTTAAAAAAATAATATAGAATATAAGTTTCAAAAGTTTATCAGTGTGAATATAGAATGGCTTAAAATTGATATTTTTTTGCTAAAGATAAATTTGATCCTACTATTTTTAGCTTTGTTTATATTTGGAGCTTGTAGTAACAGAAGGAGGAAATGTGTTACAAATTCACTTGAATAACATTTCCTGGTCACTTATTTGTATAGCAGAGACACAGAATGTTTCCTATTACTTTGCTATCTGCTGCTTTAAAACCTGGATGCTGTTTTGTACTCTCTTAGAGGAATAACTTTATTAACTTTAAGTTCGGTAATGTTTAAATTATAAATGTATCATAAAGCTCTAATCCTGCCACTTATAACTGTTGACTTGGGCAAGAATTTTAACTTATGAAAGCTTCAGTTTCTGCACTACAGATTAATAATACCTAGCTTGCACATAGCTGAAGGGTTTAAAATATTGACTATGTGTAAAAATGCTTTGCACAGCACATGGCAGAAAGTACTCAGGAAAAATTCCTGTTATTAATAAATACTGTACTGACCTGTAGAATTAAGCTATGGTTTATGATAATAAGTAGGCTGTAAAGATCAAGAAATTATGTAATTTATCATCAAGTTGAAGGCTAGGTGTTATTTTGGATATTAATTTGAACTCAGAAACATCTTGAAAGAGGTCTTTGTTTTGTTTTTTAAATAAAAATGAAGCAATTACAATCAAACAAATACTAAGAAGATGGTGAGCAATTTGGATAAAACAAGCTTATAATCTAAACACACCCTGGAAAAGACACCTCTGTGTTTAAATTCTGTCTTGATACAGTTGACTTACTAACATTGACTGTGGAAATGATACAGTACTTATTATCTACATATATTTTATGCATTCATGCCATAACTACTTCTTAATCTTCCCCCATATTTCTTAACTATGCAGTTTGTCAGCCAGTACTTTAAAAATGGTCACAAATTGTCAGAAAAACTTGCAGTGCAGTTATTGGGGGAAAAAAAAAATCTGTGTGTAAGTGGACCTGCACAATTCAAATTTGTGTTGTTAAAGACTTAATTTCCCTCCTACCTCAGATGCCCGAATGATCTTTTTTTGCTGTTGTTTTTTTTTTTTTTTTTCCTGCAGTCCTCCAACTTTCTTCTCTACCCTTTCACACTCCCATTGGTGTTAGCCTGACCTTGGGTGGGGGGAGCATGTCAAGTTTATGGCTGCTAAGATTTAGGTAGTGTTCTGCTACATCATTTCTTAATAGCATAACCTCGAAAAAGTCAAATCTCTAAACCTTTGTTTCTTTAGTTTTTATTTATATTTTTAATTTTAAGTTAGTTTATTTTTAAATGAAGTACTTTTCTGACATCATTGTATTTCTTTGTTTTTAAATGAGAATATTTTCTCTTGTCCTCCTCAGAGACCTCATTCTTAGAGATGAGACTCTGTATGTGTAGTGTTTTAGAAATACTATTTCCTTCACAAGCATTGAGTAATTCTTGTTTTGTTTCATTCTGATCAAGTTTATATGTATGTGCCTTTTCCTGTTTTGATCATAAATTTAATACATGCTGGTAGAAAGTTTGGAAAATACAGATAATATAAAAGAAGAAGATAGTAATCTGAATAAGGCTTCTTTCTGTTTTCATGTTTTTAGGAGAAATTTAATTTTGGACTGAGTTTCTTAAGAATAAGAATAATATCTTATTTATTTTTGGATTTTCTATTCTTTGTGTGCACTAGGCACAAAATTAATGCTCACTTGGATAAATGGGAACTCTTTAGTCTGGGTTTAATTCTTAAAGTCAAAATCTAGGTGAAATTTTACTGGGTATTTGCAGAGAGAAGATACCTCACTGGCAAACCTAGTAGTGGATACATATTTTAAAATGGTGTTTTTCTGTTGCCTGAAAGAGTAAAGGAAAACATAGTAGGGTCAATGCTAACTTTTTGCGGGGGTGGGGGGTGGGGGGGTAGAGGGGTGGGGATGGTGGTGGGGGGGATGGTGGGGGGTGGGGGGATGGTGGTGGGGGGTGGTGGTTAAGAGACTAGTTAAGGCCATTGAATACAGAGCCGGCTACTGGGTAATTTTGTATCAAACTGGATTGACATTTAGTCAGCAAGAACTACACTGTGGTAGAATTTAAAGACTTTTATTGAATACTTGAAAATTGTTAACAACTTTTTCCTCTTTCTGTATTTTATTAAATAGGATGGCTTAAATTCATTGGTCCTTGATTTGGATTTTCCTGCTTTGAGGAAAAACAAGAATATAGATAATTTCTTAAATAGATGTAAGTATATTTAAACTTAATAACTATAGCAAGAGATTTGTTTGTTCCACTTATTTATTAAACTACTTTTCAGTTTGCCATTTGATTTATTTAAAAATGAATATTTGTTATTTCCAAAGCAAAATTGTAGAACCAGTTACAATATGTAATTACAGAAGTAGGTGAAGTTCAAGATTATATATAAATTAATAATACTATTTGGTGATTTCAGGACAGTTTATTTATTGTAGTTGCAAGAGAATTTTTAAGTTGTTATTGATAACTCCAGGACTTAGCTTAATGGGACCCAGTCTGGTTAATGAAAGATAACGTGATACTTGTTATTGTCATATGTATAGTAACTCTTAATATTTGGCAACATTGATGTTATTATAATGAAGGTATAAATGAAATTGAATTCTAAGAATAAGATGTTCTCAAAATGTACTCTATCAATACAGTAAGTATTTAAATTTGAAATTGTTGGAGTGGGCTATTTCCTAATTAACAATTTTATTGTAGTTATCACACTTAAAATTTGTGATTACCATTAAATGTAGACTATCAGCATTCATTGCTGAAATTATCCTTGCAAGTCCTTTGATCATGACTTTTTGCCATGACTCAGAATATGCATCAGGGTTGCTTGGGTCATCACTGTTCCAGCTATCAGCTAACTTGCCAAACAGACATCAAAAACAAAATATTTTAACTGCTGCTTTTTGGTAGTCCTTACTGTTTGTTTATACATGTTAATAAACCATAGAGTTTTGGGTTTTTGGTCTAAAAGTTAGTACGTACCTTGGATTATTATATAGCAATCTTTAAAAACGGACAGATTTTCTTGAAATAAAACTTTCTACAAATGTGATTATTTTAAAAGTCTTTGTAAATTTGATTGCTATTACATATCTAGTGATTTTTTTTTTTTATTATAGATGAGAAAATTGTGAAAAAAATCAGAGGTCTACAGATGAAGGCAGAAGACTATGATGTTGTAAAAGTTATTGGAAGAGGTGCTTTTGGTGAAGTTCAGTTGGTAAGAAGTACTTGCTTTATAATTTTTATTATTTTTTTGATAACATAGTTTTGTGAAACATTGTCAGCAGCCCATGAGTAGATCCAATTTCTATGGCCTTACTATACTAGAATTAGTTTTTGGACAAAGTTATCTTGTCTCTGAGAGTCTCAGTGTCTTCATCTATAAGAAGAGGCACTTTTGCTGTATATAAATACCAGGTCTTTTCCAGCTCTGAAACACTAAGATTTATGAGATCAACTTCACTTCACACGTGATCTGCATAGCAGTTAATATTCCACCAGAATTACTCTGTTTTTATTTAGTATGTTCAGATTAATAATATCTCTGCTTCATTAATTAAGATTAATGTAGACTTATGAAAAACCCAACAAAGACGTTTTAATAACTGAAAGTAAACCTAAAAATATCTTCGCAGGCCAAAGTGCTATCACTTACTGGAAACAATATATTTACAAAACTATTTCATTGATATTATTTAGTGAAATGTTATAATAATGTTCCTATTTTTTGTCCTTATAGTTAAATTATGGAATCAAAATCTGTTTTCCACTCAATAGTGATTTACTCTTATTGATTGAGCAGTGAGAATAGCAGTAATCACCATGAGTGAGCCTTAATTTTCCTAGGAGCAAGTCATGACAGACTAAGAAAGTCAGTCTTTTCATTTCATTTTTCTTTGATAGGTTAATTGAATTTGTAGATAAGGGTAGTACAATCGATGATTTATATATTTTATTTAAAAAAATGTATATACATATATAGGATACTTGGGAAAAAGCTTGCCATACTTGAGTATGATGCGGAGAAATGTCTGTGAATAAGCATGTGTGTAGTCAGCTGTATAATTTATAGTTGTATTCTAAGGAGGCTAATGAAAGCATGAATGGTATCAGGGTTCTCTTTTCTCCTCTTACTAATCATTTTATGAATGACTTGTATGGAGGTCATGATAGCATGTTAAATCATTTTGCAAATGAGTAAAAGCTGCATTATGGTGAGGATGATTTAAGACTGGGGGGAGAAGTCATTGGCCAGATAGAAGTGAAACTTAAGCAGAATACTGACATGTCCTTGTGGATGTGAATTTCTCAAGGAATAGGTTGCTTAACAGTAATTATGAATTAAAGAACAATTTTCCTTGAATGTAAACTAAGCAAGAGTCACTGGGATGTGTCTGTCCACATCATAAAGCAAGTTTGAACTGGTTTAATACAGTTTCTAAGATGATAGAGATAGGTTTTCTCTACTTTTAAATGATTGGGCCATGCCTGGAATATTTTCTTTCTAGATGCCCTATTGAAAGGTGTATTGATAGAAGACAGTCGAGGGATGGAGTGCTCAGGGGCTTGAATTGATGCCATTTGAGGTTTGGTTGAAGAAACCGAGAAGTTCATTTGGAGTGTATTTGAGAAGAGGGCTGCCTTGGAAAGGAATGAGGCTTTGGCTTTGTTTTGTCCTGTTTTTTTCTTTTTTTGTTTTTAGTCAGTGAAAGTGGTGAAGTTTCAGTTAGTAGAATGTTCTAGTGAGGAGGATGGGAGATTATATTATATTATAGATGAGTTTCCTATAAAATAGGGAAAGTATAAAACAGTTGAATCTTATGTCTGACATAGTCTGACTCAAGGGTGACTAAAGGCAAGTTTCTCAACTCTCTTGAGTGTCATCGTGTAGAAAACAGATTATAATACTTGTCATGGGTGTCGTTCTGGGGCGCTAGGAGAATTACCAAAATAAATAAGCCGGGTTATTTTGTTCTGTAAGTGTTAACTGTTGTTTCTGTTGTCTGTCTGGTATGTAGAGTCCTACTACTTGCACTTGTTGTTTCTTCCTGCTTACAGTTCAGGGTGGTTATGAAAGAGAGTCTAGAATTTGGAGTTGTTCTCCTTTTTGGAGGGAAAAATGACAGACCTTGACTTATCATATTTCTGTGCAAGTGGTCATTGTTCTGTTAGGCTAATTTGATGATTAAAATTCAGTGTGGTCAAGGAAAGGAAAATGTATAAACACAGAAGACTTATTTTTGTTAATTTTCCATCCTAAAATTCATTTGGCCATAAACATGCAGAAACAAAGTCATACTTTTTAAAAAATGAAAACTATTTTTGCATTCCATTAATCTGATGGCCTCACACCCAAGAGTCTGCAGCATGTTTGTTTTGGCTTTAGTTCTTGGTTCTGCTACTTTAGGCAGGGATTCTTTAAAAGAAGGATAATACAGGCAAGGGCAGTCCAAGTGCTTTTTCCATGACCTTTGAAAATTGACTTGCATATGGTAGATACATCAGTTTGGAGGATGTGGAGGTACGCTTCATGTTTGGCATATCTTTATGATTGTGTTTTTCTAGTCATCTGAGGAAAGTTTTATGATAGTAGGTGCAAATTTTTCTCTCCTGGTGAAATATCTTTTTTTTTTTTTTTTAAATAATAAATTTTATTGTTATATTCCCCATACAATTGCAGCCTCCCCATTCTGACCCCAATCCCTCCCCTCCCGTCCCCGCCCCCCTAAAAGTGTCTCTGGTTCATAGTTTTTTGTTGATTTTGATTTTCACTTTCTTATAGTTATTCATTTTCCTGGTCCCTTATTTAAGTTTTCTAGATTCCTGTTATGAGTGAGACCATCCGGTATTTTTCTTTTTCTTTTTGGCTTATTTCGCTGAGCATGATCCCTTCCAGCGCCATCCATGTTGCTGCAAATTGCATGTGTTTATCTTTTTTGAATGCTGAGTAATATTCCATGGTATATATGTACCACATCTTCTTGATCCAGTCATCTATTTTTGGGCATTTGGGTTGTTTCCAAAGCTTAGCTATTGTAAACAGTGCTGCTGTAAACATAGGGGTACAGGTGTTCTTTGGAATTGATGTTTCTGTGTCTTTTGGGTAAATACCTAGGAGTGTAATTGCTGGATCATATGGAAGTTCTATGTTTAGTAGGTCCAGAAATCTCCACACAGCTTTCCATAGTGGTTGGACCAGTTTGCACTCCCACCAGCAGTGCAGAAGAGTTCCTTTTTCTCCACACCCTCGCCAACATTTGTTGTTGCTAGTTTTTTTAATATGTGCCATTCTCACTGGTGTAAGATGGTATCTCATGGTAGTTTTGATTTGCATTTCCCTGATGACAAGTGATGTTGAACATTTTTTCATATGCCTGTTGGCCATTTGCATTTCCTCTTCAGAGAAGTTTCTTTTTAGCTCTTCTGCCCATTTTTTGACTGGATTATTTTCTTTGTTGTTGTTGAGTCTCGTCAGCTCTTTGCAGATTTTTGTGATCAGTCCTTTGTCATTAGTGTTGGGTGCAAAAATGTTCTCCCAGTTGGTGGGGTTTCTCTTTGTTTTTGTTATTGTCTCTTTTGCTGTGCAGAAGCTCTTTAATTTGATGTAGTCCCAGCTGTTTATCTTTGCCTTCACTATCACTGCTTTGGGTGATGTGTCTGTAAAGATGTCTTTGATGTGCAAATCACGTAGTGTTTCGCCTATATTTCCTTCTATATATTTTATGGTTTCAGGTCTTATGTCTAGTTCTTTAATCCATTTTGAGTTGATTTTTGTGTATGGTGTGAGGTAGTGGTCAAGCTTCATTCTTTTGCATGTAGCGACCCCGTTTTCCCAGCACCATTTATTGAACAAACTTTCTTTGCTCCAATGCATAGTCTTTGCTCCTTTGTCAAAGATTAGTTGACCATAAATCTGTGGGTTTATTTCTGGATTTTCTATTCGATTCCATTGGTCTGTATGTCTGTTCTTGTTCCAATACCATGCAGTTTTGATGATTATGGCTTTGTAGTATAGTTTGAAGTCTGGGCGTGTGATGCCTCCATTCCCTTTTTTTTTTCAGGAGAGCTTTGGCTATTCGGGGTTTTTTGTGATTCCATATGAATTTCATCAATAATTGTTCTATTTCTTTGAAGAATGCCATTGAGATTTTGATTGGAATAGCATTGAATCTGTATATTGCTTTTGGAAGGATGGCCATTTTAATAATGTTTATTCTTCCAATCCATGAGCAGGGGATGTCTTTCCATTTCTTTGTGTCTTCTTCTATTTCTTTTAACAGTGTTTTATAGTTTTCTTTGTATAGGTCCTTTACCTCTTTTGTTAGATTTATTCCCAAATATTTGATTTTTTTTGTTTCAATAACAAAAGGGATGGTTTTTTTGATTTCTTCTTCAGATTTATTGTCTGTGTATAGGAAGGCTACTGACTTTTGCGTGTTGATTTTGTATCCTGCCACTTTACTGAACTGACTGATGAGTTGAATTAGTTTTTCTGTGGAGTTTTTGGGGTTCTCTATGTATAATATCATATCATCTGCAAAGAGTGATAGTTTGACTTCTTCTTTTCCTATTTGGATTCCTTGGATGTCTTTCTCTTGTCTTATTGCTCTGGCTAGGACTTCCAGTATTATATTGAAAAGCAGTGGTGAGAGTGGGCATCCTTGTCTTGTTCCAGATCTTAATGGAATTGCTTTCAGCTTTTCTGGTGAAATATCTTTAAAAAAAAAAAAAACCACAGGGCCTCCCCGGTGGCGCAGTGTTTGAGCACTGGGTTGCGAAGCTGCCCGCAGCCTCTGCAGCGCTGGTTCGATCCCCACCTGCTCCCCGGCCACTGGAGGAGGGTCCCACATGGCGTGCAGACCTCTTCTGATGCCCGCTGCTCCCCTCAGCAGTGCACTTCGGTCCTTCTGCCTGCTCTGCTCCGGCTCTGGTGAATTCGCTCACCCTCCCGCGCCTCTGACTGTACCCAGTGCTTGTAAAAATAAATAAATAAATCTTTAAAAAAAAAAAAAAACAACCCACAGATATCCCACCAGTGGCTGTCCCCCAGTGTTTTAGAAAGAGCATCAGACTACTTACAGTTGGATTGTGATTCTCTCATGAATTAGCTATGACTTCAGACAAGTTAATTTAATCTCTCTGTGCCTCATTTCTTACCTGTTAAATGAAGATAAGTATAGCATTAATATCTCATAGGATTTCTCTAAGAATTAAATG